CACCATCGAAGAAGAAACTCTACTCAGTTACCGATGATAAAGACATTTCCTGATGAAGTAGATGAACCCCACGTGAAGCAGAAGCCAACGAGACGGAGACCAGTACGGAAGAAGATACGTCCCATACAATTAAGAGACTTTGTTGAATTGTAATTTTGTGTTTGTAATTCTGTACAGTTAATTAAGTTATTGTTAATTGTTATTGGTTTATTGTATGTAGTTATTGTTCGGGACGAACAATATTAAGGAGGGGCAGTGTTGCGTCATCGAGATCACGTGACTATTCTCACGCCCTCTACTTTCTAGAACTATCCCGTACTTTGGCGAATGCTCTAGCATTTACTAGATATAGGGTAGTCTGGTATATAAAAGAGGGTGACAATGTGACGGTAATGTAATGTGTGTGTAGATAGTGAGTAATTGAACTGCAGTCAGAATTATTGTTGACGTTCGTTGATATAGCGTTTGTTATAGAGCGATTGTTGAAAATAAGTGCATCGTAAAGTTGTATTCGGAAAGAATAAACCAGTTTTATTAAGTAAGGACTTGTGTCGCTAAAGTTTCGTAGGAACGAAGTTACGGGAAGTTAATTAACAAACGGAGACGTAACAGTATCATCAGTGACCTACATAAGAGGTGGCTTGGTGGGCTCAAGTCCTGCTTTCTTTCTTATGCCCCCAACGCGCCCTTTTCCTCGGCCATATTTTTTTTCACAATAACTAAAAGACACACTTGATTCCACTACTTGTTTAATGCGAGTTAGGAAAAATATCCCAACTTTAAGATGAATGGCACACGTAAGGACTCGTAGGTCTTTATAATAAAAAATAATAATAATTTGGTTTTTATGGCTATCTACTCGATGCGTATCAGAGATAACCCACAGTCTTCATAGTCTCCCCTAACCCCCTCTTCCCCCAAGTCTTACGATGCTTGAAAAGTGCCATTTTTTTGTAAATGAGACCTACCCTTTTAATGTCCTCTGTACGTTACTGGATTTCATTGTCACATCATAATAAAATAAATCCTAACTACGTGCTAAAAAAAATAAACTAAGGAAAGTATTAAAAATTAACAATAATAAAAGAAAACAGTTCCCGCTTGCCACCAAACTATAATAATATAAAACATATTCAAATTTACCCTTTTTTTTTCATATATTTCAATTTTAGGATGTATTTTGCATAAATAACGTATGTTTGGCAAACCATTGAAAAGCCTCTAGAAAAGACTTTAAAAAAGTATTGTTACGCCTCCGTTCGTTAGTTAATTTTACGTATAATTTCTTTCCGAAGAAACTTTAGCGATGCAAGTCCTTTCTTAAATAAAACTGGTTTATTCTTTCTGAATACAACTTTGCAATACACTTAATTTCTACAGTCGCGCGATAACAAACGCTATAATTCACAACGAACGTCTCACGTGCTCAACAATACGTCTCTCTCTGTCCGCAGTTCGATTACACATTGTTGCCGTCACGTCTTGACGTCTTATATGTACAAGAATACCGAAATCTCGTAACCTCCCGACGCTTCATGAACGTTCTAGAAGCGCGTGACGTGTTATTAGCGTCATGTGACCTCCGCTGTCGTAACAGTACTTCCCTAATAACTACAAAAGTTCCCGGTAATTTTCATAAAAGAAACAAAAAATAAATAAACACTAAAAACTAAACACTAAAATATGTTTGGTAAAACTCTAAACTGTTAACACTATTGAGTAATTTGCTTCAAATATCGAACTTACTGTTCACGTCTCAAACGATTTCGCGTAATTTTACAAATATTTATTCTTGAGTCCTCAGCAGAGTAATAATATAGACTTTTATTCGATCTCATGCCCGTTCTTGTTAATAAAGGGGCGTGACATGAGAGGATTGACATTTGTTCTTGTGAACTTATTAGTGGAACAAAGAATATGATTTGTTCCCACAATATTTATGCTGTACACGAGGCGGTTCCAAAACTTGTAGTTTTGCGAGGTAGCGAAGAAGGGGCTCACAAATCTGCACTTGTTTGCTCTGGATGAACGAAGACATGAACTAATAGTTTGTGTAAACTAGATATGGACCAAATTAGATATATCAGTCGTATGAAAATAGTTTTTGTTAAGATATTTAGATAAATCGTGAAAACCCTTTGTGAATAATAATAAATATTTCTAAATTTCAAATTTTGGAATCAGCAAAATGTCAAAATGTCAAGTTTCTTCTGACTTTCGAAGCTGTGATTTCTCGATTGCATCTGAAAACCATACAGGAGTTGACGGAAAAGACCAATCAGAGTTTGATAATAAGCGGTCAGTGTTGGACTTTGAAGAGACAGGAGACAGTAGCCAGGACTCGAACAACGAGACTGGACGTTTTCCACCGTCCATATGTGATGCTGTAAGCAGAGTGTTTCAGGGGTACCACTGGAGGCTTGTACCGACCCCTTCACGTCTCAGCAGCTCAGACAAACGAAAATGTCACGTGAAGCGGCCCATGAATGCCTTCATGGTGTGGGCTCAGGCAGCTAGACGGAAGCTGGCTGACCAGTATCCACATTTACATAACGCTGAACTCAGCAAAACTCTCGGCAGACTCTGGAGGTAACATTAGATCTGATTGGATATATATATATATATATATACTTATGTTACTAACTGTTTACCAATAACTTCTATTACACAATAACCTAACTATATAGACCAGAAATATAAAAGTATCAAAACTTAATTAAGCCAATGGCTGAATAACAAACAGTGTAGAAGTACTTACAACATAAATCAATACCTAAGGGAACTATAATCAATGAGTCAACACCTTGTTATTAACAATATATTCAGCCGTAATCCCAGTAATATTTCACAAAGTTCGACTACCTTAAGCCTAAAGTCCACCCATGAAACTAACAATGCGAAATATACTTGTAAAAATTGTTAATACTAAAACGACAGTAATTATATCTAAAGTTACTTGAAGCATTATAGCCGAAAAAACCAACTCAAAATATCGTTTTTCCCTCTCCAGTTTTTGAAACCGGAGTTATGCCCCTGCCACCATACATGCACATACGACCATTATTTCTATTATAAGCCGAAAGAGCAATAATAATAATTAGTTGAATCTTAACTTTTATTAGTCGTGCTAGAACCCAATGGAAAACGCCAAATATACGAAACAAAGCGAACCAAAAATTCGTCTACCCCAAATTTTTGAAACCAAAGTTATAACCCTGCTATGCCACCATACAAACACACACACACATTTTACTATCATTATTTGTATTATAAGTCGAAGGAATAAAAGTAATTAGTGAATTTTAACATGTTCTATGTATAAGAACGTCAAATATGTGTTGATATTTATCAAGATAAAGGTTACAAGTTAAACTTTATTAAAGCTGTATCTGAAACAATGTTTTAGAATTGATTTTCAGGAACACAGTTATTTTAAATGGTACAAAAAAATCACCATATTTTATAATTTTATAGCGTATTTCTAATTCTTAGTTTTAAAACTGGTGGCCTGCATAGTAACTAATTTAAACAGATTAACAAATAAAAAAGTGTTAAAGTCAATTTTTCGTTTTGGAATTAGAAATCGTTCAAGTTAAACGTTTGTTAAGTAGAGGTATTTGTTAAGATTAACCAAAGTATGGTTTTTTAAACAGCTAATCGAAAGGAACAGTAAATATATATGCTAATACAATTAATCGCTAATCAGTTATTTGTCACAAACCATAAACAGAAATCGTTAATCTTTTCTTTACACATCTCGATTTTGAAATCCGTATTGTACTGATCATATCTATTTCCCCATTTTGTATGCTAATACAATTAATCGCTACTGTTTACGGTTTGTGACAAATAACTGATAAATCGTTAATCTTTTCTTTACATATCTCGATTTTGAAATCCGTATTGTACTGATCATATCTATTTCCCCATTTTGTATGCTAATATAATTCCAACTAGCCGCGACCGTAATTTTCATGCCCTTCGCTTGAATTTTCGATATTTTATCATTTTCACGCATAGCATTTAAACTAAGCTTTCTTGCAGGCATTATGTGTTAGATCAATAAATCCTGGTTTATTTGAAAAAAAAAAGAACAAAAAATATTAAACGGTTAGACAAATAAATTCATTTAAACGCAATTTTATTTATTAAAACTACACATACATAACTTTGTTCAATAAAACTACAAGTAAAGTAAACTATAATGGTATTTATAATAGTGTACAGAGTGTGAAACAGTTATGAGCGCTCAGTATGACAAGGTTTTACGAGTTGAAACCAAGAAACTCACAAAAAGGAAGAATCAAAACAGTACTAAAGAAAAAAGTAGCTAAAAGGTGTTTATAACAGTCTATGAAACGAACTGAAGCTAAATTATTGCAAAATAAAGTAAATGTGAAGTTTTAATGAAGATAAACTTAGTTGAATATGCAGAAACGTCTGAATGCGAGTTCACAAAGTAATAAGCATATGATTTTGAACGAACTGCGCATGCATAAGTCGAGAAAACCCACAGAAATTGTATTTAGTATAATGTTATTTTTTAGGAACTTACACGCGGGTTAATTGCTGTTGGTGTGAAATACTTTGCAACTAAAAAAACTAGAGTTGAAATCAAAGCCAGTCATTATGCGATGACAATGGTGCTGTGCCATTGAGTAGCATCCTCTATGCATTAAGCGTTTGACTAAGCAAAAACCAAGTAAGGTGATTCTGAATGGAAAAGTCAATATGCAATCGGGACTCCTCGGACAAAGGCCTTTCTAACGATATTAGATTTGTAGCCTTTTATAAGAGAAATACGCAAGAAAAGTTCCGGACAAACAAACACCAGCGTATTATCAAATTTTTGGGCACACTTTTGATATCCAAATATATTACAGCAGTATCAAACGAGTTATCGGGCCCATAGTTAATACTCATGCATATTACTAGTCTGTCAAACAGGTTTTTGGGTACTCACTTGACTCCCCCGTATATAATTGGTCTTTCGTCACGCATATGATACACCAATAAAATATAAGATTATCAAATAGTTTATCGGGTATTCATTTAATGCTCACATTTACATTACAGGTCTGCCAGACAAGTTTATTGGGCGCACATTTGATACCCCAAAATATTGCCAAACGATTTATCGGCGCATATATTTGAGAAAAAAACAAAAAAAAACAAACAGCTGTTGGGTACATATTTTACACCATAGTATGACGCAGACTTACTAAACGAATTATCGGCACATATATTTAAAAAAAACAAAAAAAACATCTGTTGGGTACATATTTTACACCATAGTATGACGCAGACTTACTAAACGTGTTATCGGCACATATATTTGAAAAAAAAACCCAAAAAACAAACAGCTGTTGGGTACATATTTTACACCACAATATGACGCAGTCTTGCTAAATGAGTTATTGGCACATATATTTGAAAAAAAAAAACAAGCTGTTGGGTACATATTTTACACCATAGTATGACGCAATCTTGCTAAACGAGCTATTGGCACACATATATAATATATATATAAGAAAACTGTTCATGGAGAGAACATCACTGTGTGTTATATATGTTTATTCTGAAGGTGTTATCTCGTTATGTTGGCGTGTAAACTTGATCGGAGACAACTTATGTCAGTCTATAAAACAAAATACACTTCAGGAGATATTGATGTTACGGCGTTATGGGCATGCTCTGTCGGAAAAATAAAGTGTAATTTGTACTAGAAATTGTGCATAATGATTTTATCTTACGCTATTTATACACATTTTAAACATGTTTTATTAGTATATGCTCCCCCTGCTTACTCGTACATGTTATAGCAGTTTAGATAAGTGTTAAGGCGTGAGCGAAATTACAGAACCATCGTCATGAAGAGGTTGAGAGCGAAACTGAAAATTATTTAATACATAATCTCAGTGCGTGTTTATTGAGAAGATCATCTCCTTAAATACTCCTACGTGAAATACATATATTCCATAATTCATCTTTTTATGTGCTAAGTTTGAAGGAAAATTTTTATATTTTCCAGCATAAAACTAATATTTAGCTGCTACATCTCTTCTGACTACTGAACTTTACGTTAGCTCTATAAAATACTTCAACTTATCTTTACCCATGCTTACATTCCATTGAGCAGACGAAACGCTGCAGTGTGACATGTGGCGCCATCGACCTTCAGAGTTAGTAAAGCGTTCTCTAATAACACAATTTTTAATTCTTTGTATGTTTTTCCTTTAAAGTTATAATGCGACACGAAACTTTTCTCATGATGCTGAGAATATAATTATACTCTTTGTAGTTATATTACAGTTGGTAATGAGATATTTCCGATTATATATTACGTGAGGTTTGTTTGTTTGTAATTAAGCACAAAGCTACACAATGGGCTATCTGTGCTCTGCCCACCACGGGTATCGAAACCCGGATTCTAGCGATGTAAGTCCGCAGACATACCTCTGTGCCACTGGGGGGCATATTACGTGAGAATACAGTTTTCATTCACAATGATCCTGAGATAAAAAACAGAAATTTTAGTCTCTATTTGATATCGAAACTCCACTGACATACACAGCACATGGGTGATTGAATAAAATATCTTATCGGTGTAAAGTGCATATTGTGGAGAGAAAAAATGTTTACCAAATCATTGCGGAATTCATTCTTTCACACAACATCTATACTATTATTCTGCCTGTTTGTATGTACGACCGTTACGCTTTCTGACCTAGAACCTGTTAGAGGGTTTCCCCAAGAAAAACCGCGCATGCGCATTATTCACTCGACGACAAACAGTCTGCCTGCGGCAAAG